TTCACATTTGCACCCACTGTCCCTTAGGTAACCATTCATAGAGGAAACTTCACAAATAATTCAAGCTATGAATAATAGAGGCTGGCCAGGTATGATAACAGCTTGGCTTGTCCACCCGTATGACAGGTGGCTGAAGAGAAGAGGTCCAGCCATAAAATGACCCGTATATTGCTGCAGAAAAATCTTCCCCATTCTTGGCCTACCCAGGTGACTCACTAATTGCAACAGTTAGGTTACTGTGTTATTTTTTATTTCCAGTTAATTTAAGGAGTGTTTTTATAAGGGATCCATTTGTGTGTGTGTTTTTTTCCCCTGGTTATATTCTAATGTTCTTTTGGTCCATATAAACACAATCGACATTTTTTTTTTTATGAAATGAGGTTTCCATTTGACAATTATATGTGACAGTTATGCTTGAAAAAAATTGTTTTCTCCTCCTGCAATTTTTACAGATCTAGTTGAAATGTGCTACATGTGTAAGTTCTTGTTGTTGTTTTTTAAGGAAGGTGATGTTTTCATGGATAAAAATATGCCTAACTGACATAGCATCTAAACAAATTTAAACAATGTAACTTTGCTGAGCAATCAGTGCATAATTGATCACATTGTCACTGTGGTATTGAAAGTTGTGACTGACAAGTAAAATTTTTCCTATGAAAAGACAATATTGTATAGTTTCTTTGTGTGAACAAAGTATGAAAACACAAAGAAGATATATCATTGTTATACTGGTGGACAATTTGAAAGAGACCATGTTCATGTTTTAGTTATAGGTTATTCAATCTAATTTCGATATTTCTATATTAAATGAATTGTACCATGCTGAGACATAAAATGTTAATACAATAATGACTATTTATTATTTAGAGATATGAGACTGTCTGAAGTTTAATTTGACTTTGATTAGATTTATTATGTTTATTGCAGTTTTTTTTTATTGAAATAGTTTTTATTTAGATAAAACGAAACAGGTCAATGAAACGTTGGGGGGGGGGGGTTGCTTACAAGTTTGGTATCACGATTTTTGATCACCCTAACTGAATTACTTCGAGAAATGGATTCTCAATTGAAGGAAAAAGGGAAAAAATTAACATTTAATGTCCTTTCCCCAAGAATTACATAACGAACAGCTGTCTCTAAATACTAACTCTTGTCTGGCTTGTTAAATATAGCTCATCTCCATTCAAAGGTCAACTTTTTCACTCTGCATGAATATGAATTGCTCCTGTACTCAGTATCTGCAGGGAAAATAAAAGGGAATATATATTTCCATTATACACTGCAGTACTTTCAGCAGCACAGATTAGGATTATGTTGACTCTGTGTGCATTGAATCTGGTGATATTACACCCGCGATTTCAACAGGACAGAGTCGGAGATAAAAGAATCCCTTTCACAAAACTATGCAAGCCATTCCAACATGGGCCCCATCCCCTCTAACAGTGACACTGATGATGAAAATGATTGATGTGTTCTACGCGGTTGTGTAATCGGAAGGGAGCTTTAGATGGGGCTGGAAAGGGGGGTGGTACATGGGCACTGACACTAACTTCAAGATTGCATAGGAAGTGTTCCCAAAATAAAGTAAGAAATTTCTTGTATTGCCTTTTTACCCCATCTCTTTGAAAAATTTGAAAATCTGTTGGAAGACAGTGTATTTGGATAAATGGAACCTTTCAAATTAACAGGCCTTGATAACTGTAATATTAGTTTTGAATTTTAAACACCATGTTTTCTTAGTTTTGAATTTTAAACACCATGTTTTCTTAGTTTTGAATTTTAAACATCAGGTTTTCTTACTTGTTAATTTATCTTTTTATGTATTCATTTATTTATTTATTTTGTTTTAATGTAATTATGAGATAAATACAGTATGGTCGATTTAGTAACCAAGATTAATTTAGGGATGCTGACCAAAGCTTCATTGTATCATAGAAGTCAGTAAGTTACACTTGACTTGATAAGGTGTAGTTAGAAGGCCTTCAGCATGGATTGCCGTGACTTCGTAGATTGATTTTGAAAGCAAATGAGTAGATTTTATTACATTCTTCTCATAAATGTAAGAAAAGATTGGATGATCACTGTATATTTACTTCATAAGGAGCTAGGTCTTTGATTAAATG